GTCACCTACAATTTTTGGAGAGGTGCACCAGAGTGTCTACGGCAGTGGCGGGGGCACATTTTTGTTCACTGCAGCACATACGCAGAGGACTTGGTTTCTGAGTATAAATCAGCCTTTAGACTTTTGGAGGACATAGGGACCCCTTTTTCATCATTCTGCTTCATTCCATCTCTATTTTCCCACTCTGCAGAATCTGTTAGTTCAGTCTATAACGTTATGCTCTCTCTGCTTTTTCTCATAATAGCTTCATCTGGTCTGTTCCTGTTTGGCTGTGACACCACCCTGGAGAGAAATATCAGCTGTGGTGCCGCCACCAACACCTTTGTTTATACTGTAGATGTTAGAGATCTGCCTGTTTTCCAGTGTGGTCCTGTTTCTCTAACTGCAACTAACTGGATGTGCTCTCTTCATCCTCTGACATGGGAGCTGGCTCAGAGCTGGTCTGCCTGGCTGCGTGTTTGCTGAACGGGGCCGCCTTTTACAGTTGCCTTTTGTATCTCTGCCTCTTTCTGTATGACTGCTTCTGTCTCCTTGAACCCCAGTCGGCCTCGGTAGATGTCTGCTCCCACTGAGCCTGGTTCTGCTGGAGGATTCATCCTGTTAAAAGGGAGTTTTTCCTCTCCATTGTCGCTACGGGGATGCTTAGTGTGAGGGATTGCCTTTGAGTCAATAAGTTGATGCAATCCTTAGATAGAAAACTTTGAATCAATTTGACTGTATGATCTGGTGAACTGTAAAGTGCCTTGAGATGACATTTGTTGTGATTTGGCGCTATATAAATCTGAATTGAATTGAATTATAGAAGGGAAGAAAAAAGAAGCAATTTGACTTAAGGCTGTTTCTTTCTGTAAAATCATCAGTTACATATTCTCTGAATGTTTGTCATGTGTTGTAGGAATTGTCTGTTTTTTATAAAAATGCAAGGGTTGTGATGTTTAAACAAAAATTAAAGTTGCTTCATTCATTCATGTTCTCCTGCCTGTGTATGGCCGTTGCGATTATGAAAGACCTGTGTGGCATCTCAACAGTGACCCTTGGTGGTAGAGAAGACTTACTGCAGAACACATTCAGGAATCTGTACATGCTCCATAGGGATGATGTGACTAAGCTCCTCCAGCGTGTGAACATATCGAATCTTATCCATGAACTTCACACTGTGGAAACCATCAACAAGTCAAATTAATCATAGAAATAATCTTATATAGATATATAATACAACATATAGATATGTTAACTTTAAACAATCAGTTTTACCCAAGATATGTTTTTTTATAGACATATTATTCAGTATTCTTGTTAGATTAGAGGTGAATATCCGCTAAAAGTAGAATGACTGACAGTAGATATATCCAACCTTATAAAAGGTCTTGAGATCGCAAGAACAGTTCTGATAAACCATGTTGGATGTGCAATGATCAGAGACTTGAGGTTTTTCCTCAGTCTGCAAAGAAAAAGATAAAAGATAAATGAGCTCCCATTTGCTACTATTACTTTTCTTTTTGTTTATTAACAAATCATGATTTATTTTACTTTGGCTGTATCTCCAGTTTAATTTCTATGATGAAGGTATTTTTCTTACTTTCTGTCAATCATCTGGTAGCATCTCTTTAGCCAACTTATTCCCGGCATCTTCCTGCGAGGAGTTGCTCCATTCAGGTAAACAATCATATAATCTTCAGCCACCAGCAGTTCCAGGCTGCTAACAACATACCTGACAAGAGAGCAGATAAGACTTTAAGTTTAAATCAACTTTTCTTGTTTTTTCTTCCTTTTTTTGCTTAGTCTCTGAGCCAATTTCACAGCATGAACTTGATGTTTTTACTTTACTTTCATCCACCTAAAGAAATAAAATAGAAGTAATTGAGATGCAAGATGGGTCAGAGGATGAAGCATGTTGCCGTAAGGAATCGTAGGAACTTACAGGAAGAGATTCTCCATGATGTATGTGTAGTCATCACAGCTGCTGTCAGGGAGGTAGCAGGCCGCAAACACAATGATGGCATTCAGACCCTCACCATAATAACCTGAAAAGAAAGGAAGACATAATGTAGACATTGATTTTCTCTGTAGTTTGGGTTTTATTGCAACGTCATATGTTTGGTGCTTTGATTTGATGATTTAGGGTCAAACTCTATTCGATTTTTCTTCTGAGTCACCTGTCTGTTCTTTATTAACTCAAATTTAAAAACCAGTAGCTTACCTCCATGGGTGACCACTCGCAGGTACGGTCTAATGGTCTGCATGTCAATCCTTTGCTCCTGATCGCCGATTATCACTGTTCGCCACAGACGACCAGAGGAGTCTCTCTCATCTTCACCTTCACCTGGAAGACGTTTGGCTGTGGCCACAGGAGTGTCATCTAAAGAAGAAAAAATTAACAAAACAGGGCGAAGTCAAGCAGCTGCAGACTGTTAAGTAGTTATCTATATTTATACAGTTTGTAAAATGTCTACAAACAATTTGCTTAAATGGGCATCGGTATTATTAAAGAATAAAACCCTTTAATACATGACATTTTAACAATGTAGCTTTTCTTTCATTCCTTGTAACTTTGGATTAATATTATTTTGACCATACAAAGCACTACCCCCAATAATTTAGGAGGGGCTGTATGAAAAAGGAACCTGTTGAATAGTCCTGATCTAAATATTCCTTTGTTCTGACCTTCCCACTCAAGCTCATTGCCGTTGTTCAGGAACTCAAGTGAGTCGGTCTCATCTGGAGTCTCAATGTCATCAACATTGATGTCCAGGTCATCAGGCGTTTCCAGGAAGTCGTCAGAGAGAACAGAGCCCTCGCTCTGATCCAGGGACAGGTTCATCTCGGGGGCTACCAGTGTGCGACGCATTCTATTGTTGATTGACTCTCCCACATTCAGACTGGTGGGAGGATCTGTGAGAGTAGGCAGTTAAAAGTTAACATTTTAAGCTATACAATCAAAAACGTGTTACTGACTTTACTTACTGCTTCTGGTGTCAGTTAAGCCACATGAGTTGACATCTCCATCCTCTGGCAGTGGCCTGCACACAGAGCATATGTAAAATGATAAATTCATACATCTATATATATGCCCTGCTTCCACCTAAACATAATTTTTATTTACTTAAAAAAATAGAAATACTTTCATTTGTAACTTTTTACCTATACCTTTGTATGACTTAGTGACACAGAATTAGAATATTTATTGTCTAAGAAAGAAACACTAGAGATTACAAACCTCCCTGTGGTAATTATGCTGTGAACACCTGTGTTGATGTCATTTTCTCATTCTGCATGTTGGTACATTGCAGATATACTATCTGTTGCTACTGTAATCCAACCCTCATTACTCCCACAAATCGAGCTTGAAAGAGTTTATTCCCACACAATCACACCCAAAGCACAACAAGTATAGACAAGTAGTTGTAGAGGTGAGAGTTTTGTACCTTTGAGGTTGTTTCATTGCCTCGAAAATTAATTCATAACTTTTTAACTTTATAAGCAAAGACGTATTCCATAACCATAAACAAGGGTTTGTTATTGAATACTAATACAAGGAAGTCAAAAGAAGTTTGAGGTTTGCCATATGGGGACAGTAAAACTTAAGAAGAAGTTGGTTTGATCAGATGAGAGAAAAAAAATACTTTTTTTGGTTTAAATACCTCAAAGTATGAAAAGATATCATCCAAAACTACTGAAGCTGTATCTGCAAAAAGTGGTTTACAATGTGTTCCCAACCATAAGGAGGCTTCTTAAGGCATTAATTATAATGCCAACTCCTGCATTCAACTCAACTGTTGCGCTTTAATGAACGAACCCCCGAAAAAAAGCCATTAGATTAAGTTAGAAATGAGAAGGCATATTTTTAGTTGCAAAAAAGGCATATTTGATGAGTGGAGACAAAAATTTTACTTTTCAGCAACCAATGAAGACAAGTTGCGGGGTCTAAACCAAAAACAAGAATGATATCAAAACATTGAAGCATAGCAGTGGCATCATCATGCTGTGGGGATATTTTTTGGCAAAAATGGATTGGAAAACTGATCCAAGTGGAATGAATGATGAATGGTACTAAGGGAAGGGACAGAAGTTTAACTTGAAGCACGGCCATGGGGAGGACTAAAGAGTTGTGCATTGTGAAGTATACAGATTTTTTACACTGTTTTTTGCTTGCTGGTCAATAAACAAAACAATATTTCTTCAAACTTGTAGGCATTTTCTTTATATGAGATAGTTCATTCTCAAACAATTGATATGATATAATATAATATAGCACACATTTTCCATTGCAGGTCAATATCGAACTCTTTTTTACTCTCTGCCAGCTGCTATTTTATATCCTGACATGATACAGTCCCCACATGTGACGGCATAGTGGAAAGAACACACCTGTTCCCCTTCAGTATCTCACACATGACTAATTTTCCATCTGGACCCAACCTGTTTTCCTCAAGCGGCACACAAATCTGGCGCACTGAGAAAACAAACTCTGAACCTTCCTCTAATACTAACAGATACCTGGGGAAGTCTTCATCCTGCCACTCGTCCTTGACGTCCATGCTGTCCATGCGTAAAGTGACTTCTGCTGTACCCATTTTCCTGCAGGTTTTGAGGGCCTCTGCTCACTTTGAATGACAGAAAGATGGAATAACTCATCAACACTTAACATAAAATGCTGCTTTAAAACACCCTGTTTAAATCAACTTTAATTATCCAGGCGGCAAAATCAGATATAGTAGTTAGGGTTAGTAAAACGTCTGGATAGCCTACTCTGGAGAGATGGCAACCTGAGGGCTGCTTTTTTCGTACATTAAACATACTAGTTATAATGTCTCCTTAGGTTTGACATTGAAACTAGATAATCAAGTAGATTGTTCTGTGTAGCAGCAGCCTTTTTGTTAAACTAAAACATTAATCAGAGTAGTGGACAGAATTTACATAACAATATTGCAAATGAAATAAAATTCATGTAAGTAATGTTACATTACCATAATCCATTTTTAAGACTGTTACAATCCAGGAACGTTTTTAAAACAAAGAGGGAATTCCTCTGAAACAATATCTGGAACATGACATTCAGAAACTTAATTCCCATTAAGGTCAAACTTTTAACAATTCACTGACACATCCAGTATCACACATGGTCATCATTTTATGGTTAAGGCATGACAGTAACCTACATTAAAGCTCATAGAGCAACATAAGGTATCATCTGCATAAAACAGCATGTTAGCTAAAGATATCCTTGAATTATTACTGCAAAATAAAATAAGGTGTAAAATTGAGCCTTGGGAGACCTTATAAAAAAATTCAAAACACTTTAAGTATATATATCCTGAAAAATGTGCTATTTTAGCTGCTACATAAATGGTGGTGTCTAAAGAAGCTTGAACAGCACAGATGAGTAAATCAGCTCATTGAGAATTAACTTGAAGGCATACAGTTATATTTTGGCAGCTGAGAGGCTGTTTAAACTACAGCCTGAACTAAAGAAGAGCCAAATAGATAAAGTTTTGCATCCTCTGTGTAAAGATGGCTTTTAGCCCAGAACTTTTTCTTTCCAATATGTAAAAAAATAAATAAAACTGAAAATAGAACAGGGCCTAAAACTGAGCCTCAGATGTCTCTCCTTGTAAGCAATGCTTGTGCAAAACATCATTTGTTCTGTTTGAAAGGTGCTGTTGAGTGTTAGTAAGCCTGAATCCCAAATCCCCAAACCAACAACAACTGACTCTGTTCAATGTTGAGCAGCACCTATGCTGAAATACCCTGCAGATGACTGTGAAGACGAGAAAGCTTATTGCAGTCCTTTGTATCAGAGATATTATTCTCTTGGTCATTACCCATATTTTGCAAGAATATTTAGGTAAATTTCACCAGCAAATTCACCATAACAGACTGAAGCAGCAAATTTAGAGGAGCTGATTCTCATCTCTATCTCTTTACATTGGTTGTTGGTCCAGAGTTTCTGAAGAACATGACCTTAAGATTCAAGCAGTAGAAAATTATGTGCATGAAGCAAGTAGCCTTTTCCCCACAATTAGACTGTGAGATAAATCCTTTAGGTCCATTAACTGAGGGATTAGTGAACCAGCGTGTATTAAAAACCAAGCTTAACTTTATAACAATAATGATAACACAGATCTGCTCTGGAGATTCACTGCTCAGATGGCCTTAAAATTACCCCAGCACCCTATTCTACCACAGTACTCCAAGCAAACAAAATGCATTGATGAAATGAATTAGCCCTCATCAAATCCATGAAAAGTTGTATATGAATACATTAAAAAAGGCAGCAGATATTTAGTTGAAAACTATTTATGTATTTGGAGACTTGCGTTACCAAGACCTCTTTGGACTGATAACAGCTTGGGCATGCTGAACACGTCAATTTCTAACACAGTTCCAATTACTTCATTAGAGGAAAGCATAACACCCAATCCGAGTGGATTTTTGACCCCAGCATCCCCCGGGAAGGAGACTAAAATAAAACACTGGCTTATTCATACAGCAGCTATTCCCTGAAGGCTACACAGTCAGCTCATGTGTGCATCCACGTAACCAAAACAACAGGCTGCATCTATTGCATTAAATTCTATTTCTGATTTATTTTTGTACAGCTGCAGACTGTCTGTGTTTAAATCATTTATTGCAGCCCGCCATGCAAGTAGCAGTCAAGGCAAATAGAGCAAATCCATAAAAGTGATTTTCCTGCACAAATAAACCTTGTTTCCAACCTGAATTTATCTAACAGACATCACCACAGCCCATTAGTCCACTGGGATGGAACTGATTTGGTTCAGACAGATCTATTTTTGTGGAAAAAAGTGGGTTCTGCTGGGATTGGAAAATAAAAAATAGATTGATTCAAGCCATAAGCAAGTCCCAGCGTTTTTTAATAACCACATATAAAATGTTTTCATTCACAAAATCATATAAATATCCTGACATAACAAGTTTTTAGTCTGTCTAGATTTACTTTCAAAGCCTTGCTTATTCATTCAGTAAACATCTGAGACTCAAAGTAAGGATGCAGCGGCATGTAGTTGGTGAGGATTTGCATCCAGATGGCAGGGCTGCCTTTTCCTTTGTCCCAACCAGAATATGAAAGAGAGGCAAAGCAAACTGTAGCGGAAGACTGTTTACAGGTTTATTTCCTGACAGGTTCCTTGCCTTTGAAAACCAGTACAGCAGAATCCCCACTTGAAAGCTGTGTTTGTATTGGATTGCAGCTTTGAAGGCTCATTCAGGATTAAAGTTAACCTAGATGTAATTATTGATGACAGACTCAGCTTTCACAATGTGTTTTTATCACAAGATAAGAAGGGAGAGATCTTTGGGAATCCTTGGCAGCATGATCTAAAAAAACAAAACAAACAACAATACAGGATCAAAGGCATTTATTTGATCATTTATTAAAACTTTATGACATTAACTACTTCCTTTTATGAATAAAACATATCTAGATTTTGGTGAGAATTTTTTGAAAGATTTAAAAATATTATCATTAGATCTAGCTTTACAGCTAGACATGTTCTCCGTGGTGTTCTTCTCTTTTTAAAGCCTAAAAACAACAGGTAGAGTTGGCTTAAAAGAAAAGCGCAGTGAAAAAAACAGACAATTATTTTTGATGATCTAGAAACTCTGCGTGAGACACACATGTCAACAATGACCAGTTGATATGTTCTTTGAAGCATAATCATCCTCTTGGTTGTTGTGCTCAGAAAGTTTTGTTTTATGCTTTTCCGTACATGTCAGTGGCTTTTTAAAGAAAGTTTTGCTCTGCAAATGACTGTTGACCTGTCCAGGGTGTACCCCACCTTTCACACATAGAAACCGATGATTGACTTTATTGATCTCACAGTAGAAAAATGTACATCAGCTAAAATAGTCAAAGAAGAAGAATGTGCCAAAGGAAGAAAAAGGTGCATGGAATATATACAGTATATTCACAGTGTTCACATATGACAGCTTTTTTTATTTGTCATTTTTTTATATAGGGACTGGCCCCACTGTGAACCTGATGGATAAAATGAGAGAAGATGGATGGACGGACAGGCGGATGGATGCTTTTAGTAATTTCATTAAAAATCATTCTTACTTCTGTGCTGTCTCTTTGAATGCATTGAATTCAACTATATTGTCATCGCACTGTCACAAGAACAAAGCAACGAAATTCACTCTGTCCATTTAACCCATTCCCTTGGGGAGCAGTGGGCTGCCATTGTGCGGCGCCTTGCGAGCAGTATGGAGTTAAGGGTCCTGCTCAGGGACACGGAGTGGCAGTTTTTGGGACTGGGACTTGAACTCAGAACCTCTGGGATAAAAATGTTATTAAATTAGCGTTGCACCGATACCAGTATCGGACGGAGCACCAATCCAGCACTACAATGGTGGTTTTGATATTGGCGAGTACCAACAAATAGGGCACCAATACCATTTTGAGAGCCAAATGTTTATTCAACTATTGTCACCTGTTCCAGGTAGGCAATAAAAAGTTCTACTGGATTCACTTTGTATTAGCTTAGCATTATTTTACATCCAAGTGGTATGCAGTTCTTCATATATACACACACACATCAATTTCAAACAGATGGTATCGGTATGGTATCGGTATCGGCCGATACTGCACAGCCAGGTATCGTATTGGGGCCGAAAAATGGTGTCGGTGCAACACTATATTTAAAAAACACTCACATTATAAAGTATATCGGTGTTGTTCTCCTCTGATGACTCTGCCTTGCTTCACTTGCCCCTCCTTAAAATTGGTGGGTGAGGTTCATCGCTGTTTACATTTTCAGGCGGAGCTCTCCTGTCTTTAGGGAAGCTGCCTAGCTCCTGTTCTTACTAATGAAGCCAATGAAGGCAAGATATGTTTTCCTGTGTAGAAAATGAAGAGAGTCAGATGGTTTCATCACAGTGCATTAATTTTTAATCCAGCAGACCCTGGACTGGATTCTGGAAATAAAGATTATCCTAACTCTTTGTATCTAACATGCAGCATGTCGATCCCTCTATTTTATTTTTTCTCACTTTTTGCCTCTGTTTTTCTCTGCTGAATCCCTCTGTTCCCTCCTCATCTTCCTTCGCCTGCTAACACTAAAGCCCCCGGGCTCTAATCCTTTTGGATGATGTCAGCCGTATGGGAGCAGTGTTCTGATGCTTATGTAATCATAGCGACGTACCTTTTCCTTCGATTCTGTGATGCTGTCCGTGATCAGGACCACCTGTTTTCTTCCAATTTACTCCATTTTGTATCCATCTTTAACTGCCTCTTTTTCCTCTTCCAAACTGTAAAAGATAGTTCCAGCTATTTCAGCCTCGTTCCCTGGCAACAGCATCTTCCTCCCTCACTCACAGCCTCTATCTCTCTCCTGTTCTTTCTCACGGTCTATCACAGGCTCCCTGCCTCTCTGTCAAACTCCTCCTCCATATGAACTCACCTCCTCTCCCCTTGCTTGCTGTCTGTGACGCTGTTCTCATCTGTGCTTCCTCTCTTGCTCTCCCACCTCCTATACAGCTGCTCTGGGCTCTGTGTAAAGATGGTAAACACACAGTAGTGCTTTAAACAAACTGACCATGTTTTTTAGCAAAAACATATTGATCTTCTCTTTCCACTGAATACTGGTAAAAATTAAATTTCTGAATATTCTAATCATCCTAATGTCTTGTGCTACACCAAAGTACTGCAAGCCAAAACAAACCACCAATACATGTGCAAACACCCACAGTTTTTGCTCTGTCACAATGTTTAATGATTATCTCGGAAAAATGTTGAAGTATTTATAGTCTGTCTTTGTATGACTTTTAAGTATTTGGGATATTTGTGTGACAGTCCATGGATATATGTTTAGAAAAATGTTGAATATTGAAAGTGTATATCTGAGCAAGTTTACTACCCTGGAAGGTTCACATTTATAGAGGTAAGAAATGTAGAATGCAATGCACAGTATCAAAGGGCAGTGGCCCCCCAGGCCTAAAAGGTACTTAGAGGGATCCAGTGGTCAAAGTGAATATCATTAACCTGGGCTAGGAATAAAGCTGTCATACTAAGAAGGGTTGTAAGCGTGATTGTGGAAACGAAATATATAAATGTATGTTTTTAAAGTCCAACCTTAAGTGAAGGACTTAAGTCTGAGGCAAAGCCACCTGAAGATTCAGAAGCCAGGTTAACAAGGATGGCGTCCTTAACCACTCTCTCAAACCATCTTTCTTTGTTGGCCAGAATATGGATGTTGTTGTCCTCAAACAAGTGTCCTTTAGCCTTCAGGGGTGGTGAGCAGCTCAGTCATGTCCTGAGGAGTTGGTCCTCCTGTGTTGAGCCATGCAACCGTGTAGCGGTTGCTTGGTCTCTCCAATGTAAAGGTCTGTGCAGTCTTCACTACACTAAACGGTGTAGTGAAGACTTTTTGGTTATCCTTTGGGGTGAAACAGTTTTTTCTCAGGGTGTTGTTGGGTTTG